AAACAAAAAATATGGTAAGGGGCCTAGAAAAAAATTAGATTACATTTTTTAATAATCTATACTTTATTTTCATAAAAAATACAAATCAAGCAATACATGAAGATCTTGATTATGTAACGGATCATGTCCTACTGTGATACTTAGTCAGACCATCAAATATTTCATTGTTGGTTAGACTTGATGAAGATCAAAGGATCATGATTGTAAACTTAAGTATCCAAGGTCGAAAGGGCAATGAAGCTGAGTAAGCACCAGAGGGCTGTCTAGCTGACAAGAATAAGCATAGGTACTAACATCCAACGTTCGTTGGGCGTTCTTCATCTTCAGGTGCATTCTAAGGTATATTCTCTCTCCCTCCCTCCCTCCCTCCCTTGTGTTTATGACATATATTTATTTTTCAGAATTACTATTTTCAATCGGGTGTTTTTTCTATTCATAGAGACATTCATGACGTGTAGCTATAGTTTAAAGCATATAAATTAATGGTTCTTTAGTCCTCTATTAGTGTAACTGGCATCACTCTACATTGACGAATGATTACTGAGGCCTTAAAACTGGTGTTCAGTCTCTTCAGAAAATGAAATAAATAAATAATAAGTATTATTTTTATGCGTATTTTTAGTTTTTTACGAGATGACTTCATTTCGTAAATCAGAGCTTTTGCCAAATAAATATTTGATCATCTGATATCTATGACAACATGACTTGTGGGATCATTCTGAAAATGAAACCAATGAAAAATAGAATCAATAAATCCTCTTCTCATCATTAGGGCATAAAATATTGTGCCAGTTATATGTCAATGTATTTTCATGAATAGCACATATTGGTAGCTAACGTCCCCAGACTTATCATCAACCAACCTTAGTTCTGGCCAGAATTTCAGCCTCATCCTGATTCATATGGTTGTTGTAGATGAATCAGGAAAACCCTGAAATGACCCTTGATTTAGTAATTTCATCACTTTGGTGTATGCAATAGTTGGTGGAGGCGTTAAGATATTCAACACAACTGTGCTAGAGAAGAAAGATATTCAGTACTTGTAAGCATGAAGATCTGCTTTCCTTTCCCGTCCTTGTTTTTGAATGATGGCAAATGTTCCTCTGTCTGTCTGTCTGTACGTCTGTCTCTGTCTCTATCGGTCTCTCGCTCTCTCTCTCTCTCTCTCTCTCTCTCTCTCTCTCTCGCTGTCTCATACATTGGCCGTTGGCAAACGCATTGAGACGTTTTTCTCTTCAATGCTGTTCTGTACCGACAGTCATAGGTAGTAGGAGCCTTATGGGAGTGAGATTGGTAGTTACCACTATCTTCGCACGTGCCAACGCTCCCTCAAGGCGACTACCTATGCACAATCAATGCCCCTTTCTTGAGCTCCTGTAGCAACCCTGCCCACCCCAACCCCGATCTACACCAGGGGAGGCGAAAAAATTCACTGTCTCATGTCATTTACTCCAAGAAAAGCCGTGTACTATTTGTGACGAGGGTTGGCTTTGGAGGAAAGGAGCACAGCTGTGGAAACCAGTCCTTTAGACTCCTCAACCCCATTCCCTCGATCCAGCCATGGCTTTCTTATATACGTTCCTCTCTCTCTCTCTCTCAATATATATATATATATATACAGATGTATATACACATATAATGGTGATTATAATTGGAATAAATATTCGAACGATCTGCAAGAGTGCCGCCGTCTGATCAATGTTTAACGCAGGGGGGCCTTGATGAGTGAGAAAGAGGAAGGTGAGAGGGTTTGCTGGTAGATAGGGAAGTAGGATAGAAATGGAGAAAAGTGAGGTACGCGGGTGGATGAACCGCAGTTCAAACCCCTCACGAGGATATCTACCACCATACCACCATCACCACCACCCCGAAGTGGCCCCTACAAGTACCTCGTCTGCAGTCGAGGGAGAAAGATGGTGAAGCCTGGCTTCCCTCCCCCCAGGTTGTAAAGGTAAGGAATGGCCTCTCTCTCTCTCTCTCTCTCTCTCTCTCTCTCTCGCTCCATATATATATTTTTCCCGGACCACTGCTGATGGCTACTCGTTCTTCTTTTCTCACTCTTGCAGAATAGCGCCAGAGAGTTGTATCTGAAGCGCCTGGCTGAGCAGTCCCCATGCGGATGCTTGTCATCTGAGCAGCCCTGTCCGTCTCAGCCTTGACGTCGTTGTCTGTTCGACCTTGTTCTCTCTCTCTCTCTCGTGGATGGTAAGAAACGTCAGGAGGAGAGTGGAAAAGAGGGATTACAGAGGGTCGTGAGAGTGTCGTTTTCTCTTCCTTTCAAGCATCTCTTCAATTCCCTTCACTAAATTGGGTTTCTCTATCTTCCTGATAACTTATAATCTCGTCATTGGTAGCAAATCATAGAAAACATAAGGTATGGGCAAACAGAGATGGCATCTGAGACCGAGTTCTCCTCAAGTGGGCGTGAAAGAGCAGACGAAACGTTGTACGTTTTGGTCATTGATTTATCGAATGATTGGGAGAGAGAAATAGATAGATAGAGAGAGATGTTGAAAGCTTACTATTATCGGTGTGTCTTCTAACCCCAGCGCGTTATGATATTCTACGCTTGTCGATGGCCATCTACACGCGTTTTCTAGCATTTAATTCATCTCTGAATAGATTTCATGGAGATCCAAGGTCGAAGGGGCAACGAAGCTGAGGCATTGTCGAAGGGCTGTCTAGCTGACAAGAATGCCCATGGGTACTGACATCCTGTGTTCTTCTCCACGGTTTATCCAATGCCAAGGCTTACTTTTGGTATGATCTCTCTCTCTCTCTCTCTTCCTTCTCTCTCTCTCTCTCTCTCTCTCCTCTCTCTTCTCTCTCTCTCTCTCTCTTCCTTGTCTCTCTCTCTCTCTCTCTTCTCTCTCTCTCTTTTCTCTCTCTCTCTCTCTCTTCTCTCTCTTCTCTCTCTCTCTCTTCTCTCTCTCTCTTTTCTCTCTCTCTTCTCTCTCTTCTCTCTCTCTCTTCTCTCTCTTCTCTCTCTTCTCTCTCTTCTCTCTCTTCTCTCTCTCTCTTCTCTCTCTTCTCTCTCTTCTCTCTCTTCTCTCTCTCTCTCTCTCTCCCTCTCTCTCTCTCTCTCTTCTCTCTCTTCTCTCTCTCTTCTCTCTCTCTCTTCTCTCTCTTCTCTCTCTCTCTCTTTGTCTCCCTCTCCCTCTCCCTTTCCCTCTCTCTCTCTCTCCCTCTCCCTTTCCCTCTCTCTCTCTCTCTCCCTCTCTCTCTCTTTCTCTCTTTCCACCTTCTCCCTCTCTCTCTCTCTCTCTCTCTATCCTTTTAGTGATGCATATAAATCCGCAACAACAGAAATACCTAATAAATTCAGAGGATATCCCTTGGTTTAGCCTTTTCTTTGACTGCCAAAAACGTCGTCTTCTTTGGAGGTTTTGCCCCCGGAAATGACATACTGTTCACAGGTCAAATGAGAGAGAATTCGGAGATCATTTGACCAAGAATGGAAATGGGTAACTGGGACGTGTGGTTCGAGAGACGGATGGCTTCACCTACTGACCTCTAAGTCAGACACGGGGGGAGCACACGTGCGGCTGATGGTGAGGGGGTCTTCTCCCTTAATCCCGTCCTTCGCCTCCTCCGGCTGTCTCTGGGGTTGGCGGGCTACAAGTCGGTGGTAGTTGCCTCCAACGTCGCGCGTGCCGACCATGCCCCAATCCTACTCCACATGCAACGTGGCGTTCTCTCTCTGGCCCACCTCCTTCGTTGGGTGGGAGAGAAGAGAGAGAGAGAGATGTCGAAGGCGTACCTTCCCCTGTCACGTATCTTGACGGAGCCCTCCGTAAACCCAGCTCCCATTGTATGAATGTAAGGGATGACCTCTATCTCTCTCTTTTTTGTTTATCTGTCTGCCTGTCTGTCTGTCTGTCTGTCTGTCTGTCTGTCTGTCTGTCTCTCTCTCTCTCTCTCTCTCTCTCTATCTCTCTCTATCTATCTATCTATCTATCTATCTATCTATCTATCTATCTATCTATCTATCTATCTATCTATCTATCTATCTATCTATCTATCTATCTATCTATCTATCTATCTATCTATCTATCTATCTATCTATCTTATGTCTGTCTGTCTGTCTGTCTGTCTCTCTCTCTCTCTCTCTCTCTCTCTATCTATCTATCTATATCGATCGATCGATCTATCTATCTATCTATCCATCTTTATGTTTATCTCTCTCTCTCTCTCTCTCTCTCTCTCTCTCTATCTATCTATCTTATGTCTGTCTGTCTGTCTGTCTCTCTCTCGTACATACAGCCGGTGGGGTCTTAACGAGTACTGGCTTTTGAGAAAAGTGGCTGCTTCTAAGAATAAAGCCAAGTATTCGATTCATGGAACATGAATAATTCTCTCTCTCTCTAACAAAAAGAGGACGGTCATAGGCAGATTAGATAGAGAAAGAAGAGAGAAAAAGAGAGAGAGAGAGAGAGAGAGAGAGAGCGCAGTGCTGACATCCACTGAGCATCTTAAATTCCACATATCCCCCCGACTTGGATGCGTTCCTCTCTCTCTCTCTCTTTCTCATCTATCAGTCAATTTTCAGGGTTTAGGGTCTGGTCTCATATGGGCGGGCCGGGCCTGTTCTAACTTTCGGGTCGAATCAGGGCCCGATGCGCGGGCATTACCAAAGTTCAGCGGGCCGGGCCCACTGAAAGTCAAAACCTAGAAAATCGGGCCAACGAGGCCCGAACTGTCTTATGGCGTCTACGATGGGTAATACACACTGAAACGTGACATCATCCAAACAAATGTTGTAGCTAGGACAAGATAAAACCATTTATTTTTTATGTACCTATATAGTTTTTATATTTTCTAAATACCCAAATCTCCTGCATGAACTTCAACTACTAATGATTTTTATCCGAATAGAGAAAAACTAACTAAGTTGACTTAATATTTCTTTCCCTTATTTGGCAAATGAAAAATGATTGAGTGAGAGGAGAGAGCGAGAGAGAGAGAGAGAGAGAGAGAGAGGGAAGCGGGAGAGGGAAGCCATGGATACGGCGAAGGTGGCGGAGCTGAAGCAGTTCATCAGCCTGTGCAAGTCCAACCCGGGGGTCCTGCAAGATCCCTCCCTGAGCTTCTTCAACGACTACCTCCGGAGGTATCTGGGCTGCTTCCCGTGGATTATTTCCTATCTCAAACTGTCGAAAAGTGTATGCGACCTCCGAGATTTTCAGTCGGTTAGTCTGCTGACTGGAGCAAGCTTCGTGGTTTCAGCCTCGGCGCCGAAATCCCTCGGGACAAGGAGTCGGTGAGATTTTCATAGTCTCTCTCTCTCTCTCTCTCTGCGAATCTATTGAGCCATTGGGGAAGATATTTATGATTCGAGTATGTTTTTCCTGCACTTTACTGCTCTATATTTCTCCGTTCCTCTGCGGTTAGAAAACGGCCATGCCGAACCATGGATTTGGGCTAACTGAGATGTTAGGAGTAGAAGTGGACAACGAATGATTATACAGATGCGAGTTCTCGCGGGAACTAAAACGCTGCCATGGGGGGCGTTAGCTCTATCTGTGTTTCATCTCCCCTGTAGCTCTTCAATGTCGTAGGGTGCATAATCTCACCGTTTATCTTAGCTTTGCATCTTCATTTGATATGCCCGCGTAGTTGAGACCTTCAAGATGAATCCGGAATGGTTGGGGATTTTTCTCCTCGGATCTATAAAGTGCCTATTGAACTATGTACCTCTTCAAAGTCTCATCTGCTCCAGTTCCGTGCGATCATATCGATCACAGAAAACTTCGTGAAATAAACATTTCCCTGTAGTTGAGATCTTAGACTCCCTGCAACCGGAATTTCTTCACATACTCCTGTATCACCCGGGAGTTTCCGATGGGAAACCATTAGACTTTGATAGCGCAGAGAAATTTAAGTTAGATTATTGGTGGCTTCAGTTTGGTAGTTACAGTTCCTGAGGAAAATTTTCAATGCCATACTTATCACCAAAAAAAAAAAAAAGAAAAATAGAAAAAAGAGAGAACATGTTTGAGCGTTTACAGAGATATGCTCCAAGTATGGAAGGCTAATACTGCTCAATCAAAATCTTGAAAAGGCTAAAAATAACTCTTCTATGCGCATCAGGTCAGTAGACTCTGTCTGATGGATGAAACGTCTTTCAGTATGAAAAGCAAACAACCTGACGATCTTTTTGGACAGACTATAAATATGCTTTCTGTGATAGCCACTCCTTTAGAAAAATACTTTTTCCATTTTGAAGGGTTGTAACCTATTTCTCTCGAACTGAAATTGGGAGGGGATGTATAATTTTCTCGCTGTTTCAATTTTTTTTCATCTATTCATGGAATAAACCTCTCTTTGCTGCAGGTTGATCACGCGATGGGTGAAAGTGGTGGTGCTTCCGATGATGAAATTATTGAATCAGACATTGAATTGGACGAGGCATACCTTGAAACTGACAATGATCCTCCCCAGCAGGTTATTTCTATGAAACTGGGATGCTTTTTCTTCAATTTTTCACTCTACAAACATCATAATCAGTGCATATCACGTAGAACAGACCACAAAATTTATTGAATACAGTGAAGTGATACCTATATAATTTCTTGTGTGTTCAGATGGGAGATCCATATGTTGAGGTTTCTGAAGAGAGCCGTGATGCAGCTCAGCTATCTAAAGCGAAGGCTATGGATGCACTCTCTGAAGGCAGATTAACCCGCTCTCCACAGAGATCATGTCTCTCATATAGAGTGGTTCTCTATGGTCATCACAGTAAAGTTCATTTATTTCAGGTAATCTGGAGGAAGCTGTCCAGCATCTCACAGAAGCTATCATATCTAACCCAACCTCAGCCATCTTACACGCATCCAGAGGTGAACCACGTTACTTCAAGTTGGAATATTATCATTCTAGACGTCCCTTTTCTTTTCTCTACCGAGTTCACTGACATCTAAGTCCTGCTCGTAGCAAGTATTTTTCTGAAAATGAACAAACCAAATGCGGCGATCCGAGATGCAGATGCGGCTCTGCAGGTGTTTCGTGCCTCCATCAGTTGAATTCATTAAATTGTGTCGTTGCCTATGATTTTCATGCTTAGGAGTATTAATTTCTTGTACTTTTTTTTCTAGATTAATCCCGACTCTGCAAAGGGATACAAATCTCGGGGCATGGCGAGGGCAATGCTGGGCCAGTGGGAAGAGGCAGCCAAGGACCTGCATGTGGCTTCAAATCTGGATTATGATGAGGAGATTGCCGCAGCTCTGAAGAAGGTAGCCTCCTAGATTGTGTATAATCATGGGTTCAGCCCTATTATGATCAATACGGAGCCGTTCTTAGGTGGAGATTATTTCCCATTCTTAAGATCGGACTTATTGGTAAGAAAATCTGCCCAGTCTTTCTCAGGCTATTCAATAAAATTTCAGGTCGAACCTAATGCACACAAAATTGAAGAACACCGAAGGAAATACGAGCGCCTACGTAAAGAGCGGGAGATGAGGAAAGCCCAGCGTGAGAGGCAGCGCCGACAGGCTGAAGCAGAGGTATCTTTGGGTTTTACATGACATTCTTGTGAATCCGCTTATTGTTTTTATATTCATACATCAGTCTCCTGAAAGTTGCTTTCAAACAGGCGAAAAGAAGGGAGCAATCCTCTGCTCCGTCACCAGAAGGTATGCTCCTCATTTAGATTCCCTCCTCCCATAAGTTATTAACTCTATTAATTCACCCTTTTGAAAGGAAAATAAGATACACATAATCTTATTTAATATTTATTTTAAAAAATTAGCCTCACTAATGTGAATAATCCCCTTTAGCCTCACTAATGAAAATATGATTTCCAGCTTGAATTGAGGGCCCAGGCCTAGGAAAGCCCGGGCTGCTGATATCTACAGATGCATGGGCAGGGAAAGTTCTGGGCATCTACTCGGCAGCGGAGCTGGAAGTGAAGATGGCGGCGGCGGCAGGGCAGTCGCAGCTGGTGGTTCTGTACTTCACGGCGGCTTGGTGCGGGCCATGTCGGTTCATGGGCCCTGTGTATGAGAGCTTGGCAGGGAAGTATCCAGGGGCTGTGTTCATGAAGATTGACATAGACGAGCTTGGGGAGGTGGCCGAGAAGTGGGGCATCAGCAGTGTGCCAGCCTTCTTTCTCCTCAAGGACGGCAAGGAGGTCGACCGGGTGGTTGGCGCCGACAAGGCTGGGCTTGAGAGGAAGGTTGCGTTGCATTCCAGTAAGTAACAACGAAGAGAAGTGCGAAAAACTTTTGACCTAAGTGCCCCAAAACTAAAATATGAAAATATCCAAAAAAGGCCAAAATCAGATTATATGCCCATTATAAAGACGGACTCAAACTCAGTTTATATTTTTTATTTCTGCTTTCTATTTTAGGGTAGGATCAGAATCTGTTTGCTTCTACGCATGTTTAAAGGCCCCCTTGTTGTAACCTCAGACAATCTTAAAGACTATGAATTTCTGGTTCTCTTTGAAAATATTTTGAGTAATCTTGTGAGTTGAAGGGTGTTATTCTGATCCTCATAGATTCAAAAAGTCGTCGACGCCATCCTTGTGGATTCAAAGATTAGAGAAAATCATGTCTTGTAGATTCAAGGTTTGACTTTTTTTATTCTCCACCTCCAGATTTTGTGTCTTGTGGATTCAGGACTGGAAGAGGTTGAATCTTGAACAGTAATTTCTACAAGATGCACCCTCGCATCAGCTCCTGGGGAGAATTCAGATCCTCCCACTGGCCGCGGAGGCTGAATAAAATGAGAGAAAGCAGCACCCATCTTCGTCCGCCGCCCCTCATGTGACTGTCCTGTCGCATCTCCCACGGCAGCAGCAGCAGTCGCCAGGCTGCAAGCCAAGCTGCCCCACAGGGTCAGGAATTTTTCTCAAGATGTTATTAGACGCAAACCCCTCTAATCTATAAAAAAAACCCATTAAGGTAACATATCGTAGAGCTTTTTATCATTTAGAACGAGCCGCCATATTAGAGAAATATTGATCATTCTAATCTACTAATTTGAGTATATAACAGTGCTATGATACATAGATTCATGGGTTTACAGGGTAAAGTCGAGGGAGGAGAGGGGGTCGGAGCACTGGTCGCAGGTGAAGTTGGAGGAGGGAAGGTTCGCCGGAGGAGGGCGGCGGTGGCCGGAGCAGAAGGGGCGGTTGCAGAGGCTGCATTTGGGGAGGCGGAGCCAGCAGCTCAAGCAGAGCGTATGTGAGCAAGCGGACTCCTCGCCGGCGCCCTCCACGCACCCGCCGCACTCCTCGCATCGCACGATGCAGAAGCCGCATCCCCTGCACGCCGCCCGCCCAACACTCGCCGTCCTGCAAGCCACCACAGCCATCCCGTCAGCCATTATTCCAAGCTCTTCCAGAACTCTCTCTCTCTCTCTCTGTCGTTCTCTATGTTGAACTGGGAAGAAGCTTATGTTGGACCGACGAAGAAGGCTCTATCAGCGGCAGAGAGGTCTGCCCATCTCTCTCTCTCTCTCTCTCTATCAAGTTACGTACCTGCATCTCTCCCTGGTGCAGTCGAGCACGATCCTCACGGCGTCGCATCTGGGGCATACGTCGACGTCGATGGCGTGACCTTCGGCGCCGCCGCCGGTGGCTCCATCCACCGGCGGCGGGAGAAGTGAACGGAGGACGTTTAAATGGTCCTTTCCCAGGTGAGGGATCCCGTAGACTCCGAGTTGTACAAGGAGGCTCCTTTTCTCCTCCTCCTTGTCCTTGTTCTCCCTCTTCTCCTTTTTATTCTTCTTCTTCTGCTGCTGCTCGGCAAGGCTCGTCACCAACCCCACCACTCCGTCCGCCGTCAGGCGAGTGCAACCGGGGACGTTGATCTGTGACCACCCGGAGTTAGAAGGCTCGATATACGCCAAACCGAGATCAAATCGTGCCAGTATCCCGCAGAGTTCTAGGTAGATAGAAAGATAGATAGACAGACGGAGATAGATGGATAGATAGAAGGTAGATAGGTGGAGAGAGAGAGATATACATAGATAGATAGAGAGGTAAACAGAGAGATACATATAGATAGAGAGGTAGACAACGAGAGAGAGAGAGAGATAGATAAAGCGAGGGAGAGGCAGACAGAGGTTGACAGATAGATACAGAGGCAGGTAGATAGAACAAAGAGGGAGAGATACGGAGGTAGATAGAAAGATAGATAGATAGATAGATAGATAGAGAGAGAGAGAGAGAGAGAGAGAGAGAGAGAGAGAGAGAGAGAGAGAGAGAGAGAGAGAGAGAGAGAGAGAGAGAGAGAATGAGAATGAATGATTGAAGGAATGAAGTAGGGCGGCGAATTCTCCGACGGTTTTGTCACCCAGATCAGATCAAAATTAGAGAGAGAGAAAGAGTGATGGGGCTGCGCCGTACCTTGACGATGTCAGGGTTCTCGTCGACGACCCTCCGGAGGGCGGAGTCGGTGACCCGCCAGCAGTCGACCAGTGTCAGGGATCTCAGTCGCCCTCCTGACCGGGAGGTGACCTCAAGGAGGCCGTCGTCGGTGAGCTTTCCGCTGAGAGGTGGCTCCACCCGAACATCCCTCCACAGAAGACTGTCGCCGGCGACCGCGTCCCTGAAACTCCGGCAAGCTCGCTGCGCACAGAGGAGCTCCGGTAACTGGAGGTAGCCCAGGACCAGGAACAGCGCCCCGTGGTGCTCCCCAGCGCCACCGGAGAACTCGCCGGAGGGAGGACCAGAGTCGCCCCCGCCGCCGGAAAGGTGACTTGGAGAGCTCTCCATCATCCTCCCGTCGCCGGAGAGGATAAACACGAGGAAGAAAGGCCTATCGGAACCCTTGATCGCCCGGTGGGTTCCATACGTAGAGGGGAAAAAATCATATATAAAAAATACTTTCTTCGTTAATAAGAATTTCCAAATCACCGCCCGATTGGAGACGGACGGCCGGATTCTTTCCTTATAAAAATACAATAATAATTATCAAGACCATGCCCTTTTAAAAATACACCCAAATAAATTAATATTTTATATTCCTATATTTTTATGGTTCATTTCTTTTATGTGGATCAACGTGGCATCCACCCACCATTCTCCACATAGATGAAAAATTTGAACAGCTAAAACGCCTCAGAACAAAAACCGCCGTTTATTCTCATCCACAAAGTCAACTCACTCCTAGTAATCATAATATCATGATTATCCGTTAATAAATTAATAATAATTAAAAAAAATAGTATTAGAGAGAGAAAGAGTGGTTCATCTCCCCTTCAGACAGACACTGAAGGGGGAAGAAAAGCTATCAACTTGCTGAGGCTGCGCATAAAACCATCCCCCAGTTTCCAAATTAGGGCAGTGAAAGACCCATCAAGCTACTACTCATTCTGCACATGAAGCCATCCCCAAGATTCCAAATTTTGGGTGGGTTCGGAAACCCTAAGGGCATCAAGCGCAGGGCGATTCCAGAATAATTACAAAAAATTGCTGGGCATCATCAACCGCATCCTCAAGATTTCCACCCAAGAACAGTAAGAAAGACAGACAGCAGATACCCACCCTGAAAAATCGGGCAGTCAAAGGATCGGAGCGGGTTCTTCTCACTCACTTCTCCAATGGCTCCACGGCGGTCCTGAAGAGAAGGATGTGAACCTTATCGACGGAGAAGTAGAGGAAGCCGCCCAGCGAGTGGGTGACGTAGGAGCCGAAGCTTGTGCCCACGATGCAGTGCCACGCGGGGCCGTAGGTGGAATCAAACTCCTGGAACAAAAGAGGGAAGACCAAGCATCAGTGGGGGAGAAGGGAGAAGGGAGAAGAAGGAAGGGGGTGGGTGTTCTTGGTGGATGGATAATTCAGGGAATGCTTCACCCCTCGTCATCGATCTGGTGGATAAACCAGGCTAGAATTCAAAGATTACTATTATTCTGCACATCTTTCCATCTGCTGCGAAGAACTGAAGAGAAGACTAGAGAGTTCCATCACTCACGGTTTTCAACTGGTAGACTGGGTGTACTTCCCTTCTAGACAGTTCCCATCTTAAAGTCAACTGATGGTGGATAGTGATAGTGATAGTGATTGTGGAGGGGGGGGGAAGCATGCGAATGCGCTCCATGAAACCATGAAACTGAAGATTCCAAGGATAATAGACCAAACATTCATCGCATGAGATTCAGTCTCCCTCATCTCATTCAGATCCATTGAATGCTCAATGGATCTCCATGAGATGGTAGGGGAGACACAGAGAGAGAGAGAGAGAGAGAGAGAGAGAGAGAGAGAGAGGGTAATAAAATGTCTTCAATCGCTCTTATTTGTTCTAAACTGTACAAGTCAAAAAAAAAATGTGAAACAAAGAACCTGAAATAGGCCCATCAGATAAAAACACAGAAATATATGAGAATGGCGTTCATCAAGCACATATCAAAGGTAAATTCTCCCCATAGGATGTGCGGTCTCAACTCTACTTGATACTGTGGGAAGAATAGCAAGCAACATCACAGCTTATTCACACACTGAGGTCAACCATGTTATCGTCTTAGAAAGAGCCAGGAATATTAGAAAATAAGTTAAATCCCTTCTGTTAGATGGGTGGGTTCTTGATAACACAAGGCCAAATGGGAACCCTATTTTTCTGCATCAATCATGCTTTCAACTCTAACGATAGCCTACCACATATACTAACAACTTCAAACTTTCATAGGTTTAAAGGATAAACCGATTAGGCAATAACCATAGAAAAAACAAAGGCACAATGACAATCCTACAAGCAGATGGAATCTGATGACGTTCATCAGCCACAATGAGAGCACCCCTCTTTCCCTCGCACAATTTTTTTTGAAGGATGAACATTTTACAGAAGTGAATGAATTTTTGGAAGCGAAATGCTACAGAGATGTCAAGAAGAGGACATTGAATTGGATATTCGATCAAAAAAAATTAAAATTTCCATGGGCAACGAGGAGAAATTAAAAAACCTCATGAATCCTTTTTTTTTCCAGGTCAAATTTCTCCAGAGATTCATTAGGCAACACAATCGGCTCCCAGTGATGGAGGACCTCAAAACATTTACCAGACAACACATGATCGCGAACATTAACTAGCTCCCAGTGACTTATCCATTCCAGATTCAACGGGAGGCGAGTCAATTGGAAGCAAGGACAAAGTTGATCACGGGAACTGGCCAACTAAGTAAGGCAGAGCAGAAGCTTGAGGCCGAATGGGATTACCTTCTTCAGGGTAAGAGCGAGGCGCTTGCTGTCGAGCTTGGGCATGCTCCCAAGCACCTGCCGCGCGCACCGGAAAGCGCGCCTCTGCAGCTCCAGGGGCATATCGGCGGCCCTAACCCGAATATTACTCGGATGCTGCTGCTCCTTCGGATCGACGCTCCCTGCGCGACCACCGTCGACGATCCTCTTCCGCTGCTTCTCCTCCGTCGGTCCCTGCTCCTTCACCACCACCAGAACCTCCTCTCCGGCAGCCATCCTCTCCTTTCCCTCCCCCGCCCTGCCGTCCCCCCTGCTCCTCCTCTGCTGCTGGATGAGGTCACTTAGGTACCTGCTCCGCCGCTCCAACTCGTCCGCTGCGCGCTCCAACTTTGCCCTCTCCTCCTCCAACCCCATCTTCCCTTGCATCTCCTCCATCTTCGTCCTCCCTTGCAAGCGCCGACTTCCAAAATGGCGGAGGAAATGCCACCGCCGGCGATCGCCCTTCTCGAGCAGAGATCAACCGATGGAGATACTAATCGAACTCCTCCGATTTCAGTAGCGACGGAATCGAGCCTTTCCCTCTGTGGGGAGCATCTGCCTCTCTCTCACCTCTTTCTCTCTCTTGTTTCTCTCTCTTTCTTTCCCTCACTCCGACAAAAGCGTTGGAAGGAGGGAGGGGAGGATGATGAAGTATCCAAATAGTACCCTCTATTTTGGATTTATTCGTAAAATGTCCCCATTGGCAGAGCAGTCAACTGTCATAAGTACCCCTTATCGTGACCCTATATCCAACATGAGATGCATCCTTTTTTAACCGTCCGATCAAAATTCTCAACTGATTGTGGGTCCCACAGTCCGTTTGACCGGTTTTTCCTCTTCACTCCAATGATTTGTACCCCGTTGATCTGGTGGGCCCCAGGGAGATGGTCGATCCTGACGATCGCAACCGCCCGTCGAACCCACCGCCCACCAGGTGGACTACTCCCACTCCTCCCACTTGATCACAACCGTTAATCACAATAATCACCGGTGGCCAATCCTCCTGATTCGCTGATCGTGGACCCAACAATCACAACCGTCGATCCGGTGTCCAAGAAATTCCTACGATCCAAAGGCCACAACCGAGGGATTGCCTATGTACAAGAAGCCACCACAGAATCCAATCACAAGCAAACAGATTTACAGTGAGAGAAAAAGAGAGAGAGAAAGAGTGAAAGAGAGAGAAAGGAAGAAAGAGAGAGAGAGAGAGATTTGTCATCAGTAAACCCAATGAAACCCAATTCATCACCCCCTCCCCCCATCCTCATCCTCATCCTGTAAATGGTCCAAAGTAATCACTTTGCACCGCTAATCCATGGCGGCAGCAGCGCTGCCACCATCTTCACTCACTCTCATAGTCATCCTCATCGCCGAAGGAGAACACAGAGGCATCAGCGGCGATCGCCTTGAATTCACTCACACCTGTTGACCCCAATTGGGTCGGCTCTGAGAGATCCCCTGCCTTGCTGCTGCCACCCAGCTCCCCAATGGCGGCCCTCGGGGCCTCACTCCCTGCCGGAGCCTTGGCGGAGCTCTGTGGTGGAACTTCAGCTTCCTGGTGCAGAGGCTTGGATTCTGGCGGCAGAAGCCCTGAATTGGCCGTCGCATGGGCATGCCGGGCTCTTGATGACCCGGACTCTTCGCCTTCACTGTCAGAGAAGACATCGTCTTTGTCATTGCCCCCAGAGCCACCGCCTGATTTACCCAGCGCCGCTGGCTTCTGATCTCTGGCGGCAGAGGTGGCGGCGGAAGCGGCCACCGCAGAGGCAGAGCCAACGCCTTCCTCCTTGGCAGCACTGCTGGCGGGCTGGGAGGGGTTCGAGCCATCATAGTCAACAAGCACAACCTCCACTAGGAACCCCGGAGATGGAAGTTTCCGCTATATGGAAATGTAAGGTGGAGATTGAGATTAGGAAATAAAATAAACCGTAGATGGCTGCAGAAATATGATTCAGACATTGCAGGGGAGAGATATAATATTCAAAACTGGCGGGATAAATAGGCCATGAATTGCTTCAGGAAGAATTTTCGATGCCCACCTTGTCGAATCCATCGAGGTCGGCCGTGGTCAAGATCTTCCTGTTTTCGGTCATTGTCGTGTTCAACCAGCTGAAGCACAAAACCACAGGAAGTAGTTGGCAATGAGCGCATGATTTCCAAAAATAGCTTCAAAAAAATAGGGATTATAGCAAAGTTTGGTGCTAGAGATTTGCAATTCATTATGAAATCAGTGTCCAGGAATCTTCTACAGGGCCAAGACCCGAAAATGGGCCATGATTCAAAGCTTTTGAACCCCGGGCCCGGTCCGTACAGGCCCATAGGGCCCTCTTTACACACCAATCTAAGAGAGAGAGAGAGAGAGAGAGAGAGAGAAGCTATTTCTGTTACTTTCTTCAAGGTTACCTCTTTTAGTAAAAATCATAGCCAACCCGTTCTCAGATCGCTAAAATGAGCCTGTTTAGATTGCCGGGCCACTCACAAAACCATTTTATTTGATAAAAAGAAAAGAAAAGGAGGATGGTAGGGACTGGTGTTGGTGATTAATCCACACCAAAAACATAAAAAAAATACGGAAATAAATATATCAGACGGTATTATATTATATATCATGAATAAAGTTCATCGGCGATGATAGGGTGAGGGAATCTACGCACCAGTAAAAGTCTCCTTGCCGATCATGGAAATGGATCTTGAAGTCCCCCGTGAGCTCGGTCAGACCAGGTTCCCCCGGCAAGGCGAAGACCATGACCCCTTTCTTTGGAGCACTGAACCAGAAGTCTTCAGGCTAGGAAGCATAAGAGTTTTTGATAATTAAAGCAAGCCCCCATGTAAGAAATTACATGAAAAAAATAAATCAAAAGGGGATGCTTCAACTGATTCTAGGAGTTTAATTAAAAAAAAAACCGGATTTTAGTCAACGGACTCACTAGAAAATAATAGAAGATCAATCAGGTGGATAACCACGGATTGTGACTGAGAGACATTTTTTTCTTGAATTATGTTGGAATTTTCTAGGAAAAAATTCCCATAATTCGTATATGCCAGGAAAAGTCAACCCACATCATAATTTCCATTCCAGGTAAGAAATAGTCATCAGGCTAAGAAGCATAAGAGTTTTTGATAATTAGAGCAAGGCACCATGTAAGAAATTATAGCAGAAATAATCAACAGGGGAAGCTTCAACGGATTCAACGAGTTTAATTAACGAAAAAAGACCCGGATTTTAGTCAACGGACTCACTAGAGAATAATAAAAGATCAATCAGGTGGATAACCACGGATTATGACTGAGAGATATTCTTTTCTTGTATTATTTGGAATTTTCTAGGAAAAAGTTCCCATAATTCGTATATACCAGTAAAAGTCAACCCAGATCATAGTTTCCATTCCAGGAAAGAAAGTCTTCAGACATCTATGATCCCTGGTCTGATGATCGAACCAATTCATTGGCTTTCGGTTGTCAGACGAGGGAAAGCACATAAGAAAAAATAGCAAAAAATGAAGACATAAAATGTGCTGGTCAGCAAAGTAAAATACCAAAAATAGAAAAATAAAGAACAGCGAGAGAAGCATACCATTAGGCCCTTTGTCCTGGGATGCTTCTTCGTTGAGAACAGAACTCCTGAAAAAAATGGACTACAGATGTCACCGAGGACGACTTTTTTATAATGTGCATGCATGGTCAAAAGTAAACTTCGTGGGCATCAGCCCATTTGATTTTATGTGAGAGTCTGACGATCAAAGTCATGCAAATAAGTCAAACCACTAGTCAAAGGAGTCTCATCCTTTTCGTTTGTCAAGTGGGATAACATTCCAAAGGCGTACCCAAATGATCTTTAATATACTAACTTGCCAAATGATCCTCATCTCATAAACCTGTAGAATAACTTATATCCTACAAACTGACTGAAAAAGAGCTCCATCCTATATAGCTCACAAAAATAGCAACGGATTAGAGATGAGGAAATTATCCGAAAGATAATTTCAGATAATATCGAAGATAACTCCAATTTTTCTTGACCAGTCCAGAAAAACTCTCAAAGTGTTCTCTCACCAAGATTGCCTTTAACCAACTAGAGCCATCTTTAACTATAAATAGAGTAAAAAAAAAAAAAACAGAGATGATGATGATGATGATGACGACAGGCCGGATGAGAAGACCAAATATGTATGCTAAAAGCCCAAAACCATACCATTGTGATTGGAAACGGTAATTGAAGGCCTGACCCAGTAAGGGCATCTATGAAGGCGAAAACCCCTCAGCATGCATCTAGACAGAAAATATAATGTCAGACAAAAAAAGAAGAAGCTGGATTGGGAAAAAACAGAGATTGGATTGGAACATATTTAGCAGTATATACCGAAGGTACCTGCGGCCAGATGGATTTTCCCCATTGAAATACGTTAGAACGCGCTCAAAGTATTTGACATACCTCTACAAACATCAGATGCAAAGTATGTCAAATCTTCTATAAATATTTCAATCTAATGAAACACAGTACACAGCAGGAGGTAGACTGACAATCTGACTTGGAAGAACAAGGCCTTTAGCGTCCAAACATCTTTTTTGGTTGTAGTAGTCCATAGACTCTTCGGCAGTTGGAAAAAACTGCAAAAAAACAAAAAAGATGAAGTGCAAACCCTAAAACCTCAAGAAACAGATACAGGGTATGACAGCCAGTGAATTAATTCACCCATAACTTCCCACCTTCAAATACAGAAGAAGGCTAGAAATCATTAGCCCAGTCCTGGCCATTCCGGCTTTGCAGTGAACCACGACAACGTTTTCAATGTCCTCCTTTAACCATGAGTACGCACTTTGACAAAATGATATCACAAGTTGCAGCGGAGGGCAATTATGATCATCAAATGGGAAACATGCCACCTGTACATATGAGGTAACGAAAGGATAAGAACCATTTGTATGTCTGCACCAATCAAAAGTAATGAGAAGTATATTTTCGATGTCTTTGTTAATGATCTTGCCCTCGTACTTACTTTCGTATTTCTGAATCTTTTCCTTCTTATATCAGCAGAGAAAATTTTGGAGCAACATGAGAAAAATAAATGCCAAGATTCTACAGAGATTCTTGTCACAACAGACGTGATGTACTAGATTAAATGACGAGAAACCAATAAAATATTTGCCATTTACAATTATGAATTATAGATTCAAATACCTGTGCTGCCTCTATCAACAATCTACCACAGTCGCTCCCTAGGAATAATAGAGATACTACGGGCATGTCACCATAGACAATAGATACGCAAAGTATAGCGGCGTATCTTACATGAGCCCTTATGGACCACTCGAAATGAGAAAAACAGACAGATATTTAAATGGCATAGTTACTGAGTAGAGGGAGTGATCGTTATTACATTTGATAGAGTGAGAACGTGGACCGAGGCCTTTTCTAATGAGGAAGAATTAATATCTCATTTTGAGAGGATTGGAGGGTTCTATCATTATCTTCACAATTTGGTGTGTATGCAGACATTGTAAAAAGGACTTTCGAGAGCTTATCGAAGATATGCATCAACGTCCCCTCCTCTTTTAAATATTAAGCGCATACATAGTACGCACATACTAAAAAAAGTCTAGCATGGCCAGTCGACCAACCATTATATTCAGAAGTATTGCTATTCTTTAAGGTTGAGAAGTATTAAACATCCCCAAAAAATTTCAAATATATTCAGACCGACTGTTAACCTTATTATCGACCAATACTTTTGCGAATCACAAAATTGCAGAATTCACGACATATTGGAGACTATCATAACTTCAACGACAAGACTTCCAGCATCAGTTAGTTAGATGGCCGATTAGTCTGATTGTAGAGTAAGGCATAGAGCGTAAAAAAAAATTTAGAAGTTAAAAAAAGACTTCAATCAACTGTTGCAGCACACAGCCGCGAAAAATAATACAACCCAAGAAACAAGAAAAGAGTTCAAGTAAAAGCCACGTCAGCAAAAAATCAACTTAAATTGCTCAGTCACCTGGTCTGACACTACTCTTCCATATAGTTATACTTTAGGCTGCATCACTACATGCCCTTAAAAAATTGAGGTCAGGGAATGAGACATTGTACATATCGGGTTTCCGATATCTGCTTTCTGTATTCATTCACATTAGATTCCTGAACTATAAAGAAAGCTATGAGTACAAATCATGCGTTTGTAAATATCTCAATTCCGTAGATGAATGAACATAAATTATTCAATGATAAACTGATATGTATTTGTTAGAGGGGGGGAAAGTTGAACCAACCACTCTTTAATATTTCTTAAAGGAGAGCATTGTGTCATAAAAGGCAATGCCAAATGCAAAATAAAATGTTGAAGGAGCCAGTATTTTCATGTTTCTTCAGAATCAATGAGCAAGAAAATGTCAAAGGGCAGATATAAACAATGGGAACAGATCTCAGAGGCCCAGAAGTAGCACCATACCTTTCCCTCTAATAATGATGCATCATACAGCCTTTCCGAGCACAGATTGTACACCTTGTATTTTCCCTGAGGACAGAATGATTAGTTAAGAGAACCTAGTAAAATACTTCCTCAGCAACCCAAGGTTTCGGGAAGGAATTTTAAATTTTTGTCAATCTTGAGGTATTATGGTAGCAATCCAAGCTCCATCACTTCTTTCTTTCATGAAATGATATTAAAAAAACTCATGAACGAAAAGTCAAAAAGAAAAAACATAGAATATTTTAGTAGAACTGAAAAATCACCAACAGAAAAGCAAAAGATATGGAAACAAAACAGTAAGGCTGTACCTAAGCTAAAAATTCCCAGAATTCATCATCCACGATACATAATTATTGGAAGTCAAAAAACCTTCAAAGACAATATATGCTCGATTACTATATTGGAGAGCAAAATCTTCAAACATATGGAAATGTGATAGCAAGTTCAGATGTGTAAGCAATCAAAGGCCTATATTCAAACACAGGAGCAGGTCATCCAAGACAACGAAGAAAAACTATAGAGCTTCTAAATCTCAATTTGAGAAAAAACTTCTCACACGATCCATCAAAATTTTCTAAAGAACTGGACCTTTTGATCCTTGAATGTGACTTCTCTATCCAAGAGAGTGAGAGAGCCTCATTGCACTAGGCATTTAACGCCTCAACACATGGTACAAAATCAATAAAAACCACCATGTACTCAGTTGCAACTTCAGCAAAGATAATCATAAAAAAAGATAAAGAACCGAGCTACTTCAATAACATATTTCCATAAAATCAGCTAACAATCACCACGCAGATCTAACCTATTTTCACAAACCTAACCTATTCAAAAGAAATCCTAACTAAAAAAATAGATGATATTTTTTTTCTAGATGCACATGTATTAAATTTAAGGAAAATATTTCTCTAAAAGAAATAAAAAGACAATTAATAATTTTCACTACAGAAAGAAAATGAATGTAAAGAATAGATAATACCTTGTGGTGACTTTCAAAAAACCTGATCACTTCTTCCATATGGTTTCGATAGAAGCCCTGACATCATGCATTAAAATTAATAAATAAAAAAATGGATATTTCATTCATCGGACAGTGGAATAATACGTTACTATCAGTCACCTCAACGTATCCAAAAAAGCCAGAGCTCATATCACCAGCAGGGAACCCCATGGCAATGATATTCTCTGTGATGTATGTCATGTCCAGGTCAAATCCACCTTCCTGTGGTGATGGTAAAGAAGGGGGGAGAAAAACTTAGTCAATATCCATAAGGATGGCATCGTGGTATGCCCAATATTGTGGCATTATGTAAAAGCTTCCTAGTGCGATTTACTGAACAATTTTGCCTATATTTTAGGGTGTTTAAGATCATCTAGCAAGCACTTGGGTTAGTAGACCCATATACTCCATTTTTCACAATTTGACTCCAAGGCCAGTTTGAATGCAAGATCTATGATTCATAAGGTAACCATCGCAAGGAAGATTGTAGCATACTCCAACTGGGAATAGTGACAAACTACAATAAACATAGAAGAAAATAAAACATATTTTACATTTATCTTTTTGAATTTTGAGATCATTATTGGCTGTCAAATTGTTAAAAGGCATTAACGGCATTCGATAGATGAATGCAGTCCTTTTATCATTCTCCCTTCATTGCTCTCCATAGTTTGTTGTATTAAGCAACAAAGTAGGTACAATATAGGTATTAACAACCTGAACTTTGATTTAGTTTGTAAGCACATGAATTAAACACGAAATGTGCCTCTAATGAAGTCAATAAAAGTATGATGTCTAATAAATAGGCCGTAAGTTTACTTATACTTCATCAAGTCAAAAACTGAGTTGCAATTTGGAAATTGACCGAGCATAGACATGGCTCGAAGGTCTGGACAGGTATTTTGCAAGCCAAGGATGTGCTAGCAGCGGGTTTGGAGATTTATCCAAGGAATGGGCGTTGTTTCCAGCTCTGGTTCTAGTTTATCTTCTGAGCAATACAATACCATCTTATTATCACAAGGTTTTTAATCATGAAACAAGAAGAATGGGGGTCAGGAGGAAGCTCAGAGGTAACGGGATTCAACAACTTGAAGATCTTATGAGTCTAGCTGCAATGAGGTAAGCCAGAAATAAATAGATGACAATGGAAATGGAACGAAGGAAACTTATCCATGAAGCCAATGTGTGCATTATCTCAAACGTCGGCAGCAAACATCAGATATGGAAATCTCTTTCTCTATACACAGAAAAGGTCAAGAAATGGAGGCATAAAAGTATGAGATTCTATACCTATTATTGGCAGGCTACTTTTTACGAATAACATTTTCAATGTGCACACCGTGTGGGTAGGAAGGAGAGACTCTGGTATACCTATTCGCATGATGTTCTCTCTCCTGAGATTTTGCAAACGACAGATATCTATGACGCTGCACAGTTTCCCTAATTGCGATCAGATCAATGCACAGAATAATACCGATCCTGATGCACGGGGATAATCAGCAAAATTTTTAGGCAATATCATTCCCAGCATTAGGGATTCCCGTCCAATATTTTTGCAATGATGACCAAGCAAGCCTAGAATAGTTTGCTCATTGGCAAGACTATTGGCATGGCTACAGCATCTCACGATCATTTATTAAAAACATACAAATTATTTATTTCAATCTATCTAAAAAAGTATTTTAGTTTATTTTCATGATAGACTCATAGGATAGGATTGTGAATTCGACCTGATTCGTCTAAGAAATATCCAAACGCATTTGCATCCGTTTTTTCAGTGAGATATCGAGTATGCTTTCTAAGAAACTATAACAACGTCAATTACTGAAACCCATGATCCATTAAGATCAACTACAAGTTCTTTTTCGGAAAATTTACAACGAGTCAGAATCGCCAAGGCAATTCAGACATTCAGCTACAGAATAGCAAGTCAAATTGGTCCCTGCGCAACAAGCTAGATTTATTGTACACTTCTCTAGATGTGCTTGTCTAAGCCATTAATATAGCTCCTCAATAACTAATAAAAAAAAAAAACTTGTAGTTCGACTTAAACATAAGATGCCACTTAGAAACCAGAAAAAACTAAAAGTCAGCTGGTATATATCCTCCAGTTTATAGCTCTGTCTGGATGTTTCATACCAAAATATATTTATCCGTATCCATCGTCCTGGACTGATACTTTGGAAATGTGAAAGGTCACAAAAGATTACATACTGTTACTCGAGAGAAACAAACAGGGGACTAGAATTGAAAATCAAGTAAAATAAGGGAAGATCACCTGGTATCTCCTTTTGTTCTGGGATACCATATGACGAGCCTTAACTTGCACAGCTTTCACAGCACTCTTTGAAGAGTCTACTATCCCTTTTGTAAGTGAACCAAAAACACCAGACTGTACAGCTGTTGAGGCACCTTGGCCTTCAGAACTTTCATCAGTCACAGGAGATTTTGGAGATGAACGCAAGTTAAATCCGCTGGTGAAACGTGAAAATGTTGATTTTACACTATTCCCCTGCTGAGAATCTTCCTGGGTTGAAGAAGAAATTCTTAGGTTTCTGGTCCATGAAGATAGACCAGAAGCAGAGAGGATGGAAGGTGTATTCCCTGAAGAACCGTCTTTTCCAGTAGAAGCTGACTGAGGAATCTCCGTTGTGGTAGGAGGTGGCGACGACGATGGTTCATTATGTACCGAGTCCATCTGATGCCCAATCTAGGGGTATACTCACAGAATCAGAAGCGGGATAAGCCACTACACAAAGAATGATGGTCGCAAATTCAGAATAGCGTGTTTCTACCAATTTTTTTTTTTGGACAATGCACCAATTATCAAAAAAAAAAAGACAGTAAAAAATTCAGATATTATCTAGCCAACAATCAAATGAGGAAAAGGTCAGACAGCTGAAAATTTTCACCTTCAGCAGTTCGAAACTTCAGCGAAGCAATCAACATTCAATGAAAGCGAAACTAGAAAGAGCATTTTCAATCACCATGGATCCCATTATCTCAATGCAGTCACGTCAACATGTCTTTCATTCCCCCTATCTTCAGAGCACCCGGGGATCCTCACCTAACTAGCCGCCGTCAGAAGCATATCAACTCACAGGATCCCACCCCTACGCCCCAATTTGAAAACGGAGGATCCACAAACTTCTCTCCACATCTTACCAGAGTTGGCCAGCGCCACGGATCCGGGGACTCGACAACGAAAATCAGGCGAAGCACGTTATACAGGCGCCTCATCCAAAAGCCACCGAAAACGAAACCAACGGCCGCAACGGAGCACGACACATGAAGATAACAACAGGCAGAAATCGAAACTCCCAGCGGCAAGAGAAAGAAGGAGAAAATAGACCGACGCCCCGAGAGAAGCCTCACCGGCGGCGACCAGGCAGAGATCTCGACGGCTGACCCTTCTCAGAAGAAGACGGGAACCTCCTCCTGCTGCGTGCCGGACATGGAATCAGTCTCGACAAGCTTCCCTCCTCCGGCGAGTAGATCTGCTGAAGGCTCCGATCAGGATCTGCGAAATCCGATCCACCGTCTACCCGTCCGTCTCCGGCCGAACCAACCTCAACCTTAACGGATCCGTTTTTAGGGGGCGGTAAAAGGATATTTATTGGGAGGATACTAATATAATCCTACGGACCACCTTAATTATTCACTTATTATTATAATAAAAATCAACTTTATTTCTCGTATGACATCATGAGGACGAGAGGTACTTATTTTATTTTATATTTTAAATAAAATAATCATATTTTAAATGTATATATTAAAATAATCATGTAACCACAAAAAATATAATAAAATATTATAATTATTATTTTTACTCGATGGATAATAAAACCATGCCATCTAAAGACGCCTTTTTCCTTACAGATCACATGGAAATGGAATTTATTATAAAAAACGAAGAAAAATGGGCTTTTTCGGATGAGACAGAGAGAGTATTATTGCTATAATAGGTACAACAGAGCAAGCACAAAAAAAATAAATTATGAACCAATTAAGTGGTCGTACATTTGGATGGCAAAATGCTGATACATTGTAATTTTAAATAAATATATATACTATTTTAATAATTTATTTGTGGAAGTTAGAAGTATACTCGCCTAAGAATGTACAACATGAACGAGGTAATATTTATACGACAAGACCAAAATATGGAGGGTATGGGAATCAGCCGAACCGACTCAGATCAGCCAATCAACAGAGGAAGGGGGGGGAGAGAGAGAGAGAGAGAGAGAACTAGGCTGTGCTCTTATTGGACTGGATAAGGAGACACGGTCGGGCTATTAATGTGCCGGGCTGCAGGCTAACATAGTGACACAGACATAAGAAATATATGTAAATATCAATAATATATTTTATATTTATTTATAATGTGATTTTATTTTTAAATAATTAGATATTGTATTCGGATTTAGTAGGGTCTTTGGACTGTTATCATCAGTGAGGTGGGGTAGGCTAATCCAGCTGGGGCCTCTTCTCGGGCCGGGCTCGGGCTTTGAAATGCGCCACAATGCTAGCTCCGACCCGAAAGCCCGGCTCGCCCCCATGAGGTTATATGGATCGCAGAGATGTACAGAGATTGCAGCGTTCATCAGAGTGGAGAGCTGGGAATCTGCAAGAGAGATTGATTACTCCGATTCTACTTGTTATGATCAAGATGAACACGGTCGATGGAGAAATCCAAGAATAGTTGTAGTAGTAGATCTTGTTTTACCTTTTTTTTTTTTTCCCTGCTCTATCTCATTCCAATCTGTCTGATTCAGAGATGGATCTCAGCGCTGGACAGATTCCAGCATTCATGACAGCTGCAAGGTTAAGAGTCTTGAGGAGCAATTACTCGGAAGATTCTACCAAACATGGTCAGTAGCAGGATGGAGAGATCCAAGGGTAGAAATAGATCTTGGTTGCTGTTAATACGTAAGTTCCTGCTCTATCTCATCCCAATTCCAGCATTCACGACAGTTGCAGATTCAGAATCTCGGGGAGAAACTACTCAAAGATTCATCACGAACATCCAGATGGAGAAATCCAGGAGGACGAGATCTTCCTGATCCCACTGTTATATTCAAGTTCCTGCTCCATTGAATTCCAATTTATTTTGGAAATGGGCGGGCGGTTGAGATTCCAGCATTGATCGGAATTGCCAGAGATAGTAATGACTACGGTCATTGGCAGGATCCAACGAGAGCACGTAACAGGAGTGGATACATATCATTTAAGGTTACTGTTTCAGTTCCTTCTCTGGTATGATCCGAGCTATAGCTACTTGATTTATTCAGAGCTTGCTAGAGACGGTGATGGAGCGGGACTTGGGCCTGGGGGGGGCGACCTCCCGTGGGACGACCACCGTCAGCACGCCGTTCTCCACCTGAGCTCTGATCTGGTCGGGCTTGGCGTCCTCCGGCAGTGGGAACCGCCGGGAGAAGTCCCCCTTCCCTCTCTCCGCCAGCCGCCAGATCGCCTCCTTCGAGATAGGCTCCTCCTTGGCCTCCCCGCGGACATGGATCACGCTCCCCTCCTCCAACTGGACCTTCACCTCCTCCCTCCCAAATCCTAAGAACAGGCGTAAGAACCACTCAGCCCTAACCCTAACGCTAGCCCTCTCTCTCTCTCTCTCTAGGAGGGGGCGATGGAGGAGGGCGTACCTGGGGCGTTGATCTTGAAGATGTGAGCAGAGGGAGTCTCAATCCAGTCCATCTCCCCCGCCGCTCCGGCGCGCCACTCGCTGAACACGGCAGCGGGGCCCCAGAACAGCCGCCGCAGAGGACCACCGAAGAACTCCTCCGCCATCACCTTCCTTTTCCTCCTGCTCCCTCTCCCTTGCAGCGACGATAAGAGAGGAAGTAGGCGGGTGACTACATAAACCTTCCCATGGATGATTCTAGAGCGAGAAAGAAGAACCTTCCAGAGACAGAAAGGCGGTGGGCTAGGGGCTTTTCTGTAGAAATACCCTCCCCATCTTATGTAATTAATAAATAATCCTTATATATTGATATATTATTTCTATCAATTTTGAAAAAAAAAGGGTGTGAGATTTAACATTTCTATCAATATGCAATAAATTCAACCAAAAAGATATGAGAGATAATATGTAGTTATATTCTTATAAGAAGTAAATTTCTTGTTTCTACAAGATATTGGAAGACATTCAAACCTTTACAAAAAGATTCTTAGAAGTTTATATAACAAACATGATGTTGTTGAGTTGACTAAGTAGAGAGATGTCACTAGATTACTATATTAAGCAATAAAATATCAAATGATGATCCTAGTGGAGATCTCAACTCCAACACAAATAAATACACTTGTTACACATCTTGAGCCTTCTAGCTCTATCTAGAGTCAGAGTCATATGTTATCATAGCAACAAGAGGCCAACACAAAGGAAGTATAAGGAGAGGACTACATATGTGAAACTATTTCGTGAGCATTGTCACAGAACAAATCATATTACTGAATCAATGTTGGGCTAAGCACATATATTTTAATAGACAGCAAACACCACAAGTTAATTAGATATCTATTAATGTGGATGAGTCAACAAAAATTATTTTAAGAGAAAAGTATAATTCCTTTTGTCAACAAAATCAAAAAAAGTAATAGTCAACCATATTTGTTACTACATTAGTGATTGACAAGATAATTTATATTTAGTCTATAAATTCTTATGATTACAATTGGATTATATATTATGATGTCTCCTCTCTTATTACAAATAATACCTTTTTGTTTAGGGTATTACAACTTTTATCACAACTACTTCATGTGTGTGTTGTAGATAATTCCTTATCTCTTGTAATGGGTCTTGATCATATTTTCCTTAACGTTTAGAGTCTTACAACTTTTAGATGTCATGGATGCACTTTACTTTACTTTAAACTTTTTATTATACCTTATGTATTACAACATAAAGTAGATTAGTGGTGGATTTGAACCTGATGAACTTTAATTACTAAGCCTTACATTCATGCTATCACAACATCTAAGTTTTCTCTTCTTCAATTATCTTGCTAATTGAGTCACTCTAGCATAATGGTGCTTTGACAATATATCTATCATATATCTGAACACCACCTCCTAGTGTGAAGTCATCACCACCAGCTGTCATTAATATCAATTTCATATTTTGGAGTGAAGCCACCATTGTTGGCCATGAAAACCCCACGACTGATGATGTCATATATCCCAACATTACCTATTGGAGTGAGTTCACTATTGCTGGCCATGACTACTCCATTGTTGGTGTTGCTGTAGATCTCAACACCACACATTAGACTGAAACCATTATTGCCAATAATGACAACCATACTACTGGCACCATGGTTCATGTTAATTCTACATCTTAGAGAAATGTCACTATTATCAGCTATGATAGCCCTCACTCTAGCACTGCATATACTCTCACACTACCTAGTGAATTGAACCTACTATTTACAATCATGACACCCCTACCGTTGACCCAAATATATGACCACCACATGTTGGAGTGAAGTTATTATTGTCAACAAAAACATTTCAGTCGTCAATGTAGTTGCATATTCTAACACCACTTGGTGAATTGAAGTCACAGTTCTCAGCTATGAGAACCTCATCTCTAGTGCCATCATAAATTTTCACACCACCTCCTTACGTGCAGTCACCATTGTTGGCCATGACATTCTTGTTGTCATAAATCTTAACACTACCTATCAAAGTGAAACCATTGTTGTTAGTCATGAAAAACCCATGGTTGGCACCATCATAAATTTTAACACCCTTGGGTGTAAAGGCCCAATTGTTAGTCATAGCAACCCTTATGTGATTGCTATCGTATGTCTCAACACCATTATATGATCTAGCCACCATTGACAACAGTGAAGATACATTGCTAGTGCTGTCGTATATCCCAACACTACCTCTTAGAGAAAAATCATTATTACCGCCCATGACACTAATATTATAAGAGTTCTCATAAATTTAATCTTTACCTCTTAGAGTGACTAATATCAATCATGGTAGTTTTGCTCTACTGCTATCATAAATTACAATTGCACCTCTTGGAGTGAAGCCTTTATTGTTGGCCATTGCAACCTCCCCACTAACATCATTGTAAAATATCATATCAGCCCTTTAGGTGTAGCCACCATTGTACATCTAAATACTAGCTATTATAGTGAACCCACTATTTTTGGCAATTACAGTCTTACTGCAGTTGTCATATATCATGACACCACAACTTATAGTAAATCCATTGTTACTAGCCATGATAGTGCCGCAACTATTGTAGATTTCTCCCTCACTTGTCAAAGATAATCCACTAGCACTGATATCAACATCTATTGTTCCTTGATCAGCAACAAACATTATTGCTATTCATTTTCTTCTGGACATATTAGTCTGCCACCACCAATTTATTTTATTACTTTAAATTGTGAAGCATGTTAATTTGACAAATATGATCATTTGTTATTTTCTTCTAGACAAATTAGTAAAAAATAACCCTTGTATTCTACTTCATGATAATCAATAGGATATTAATCGTGTTCTTAGTTTATGCAGCTTTTGTAATTTTAATGATTGTACACAAATAACCTAGGTCTATATCCTAAAAAAAAAAAAAGAAACTTCTCATGTTATTTAAGTTTTCTTTAAAGATATACAAACTTAATATTCTACCAATATTAAGATATTTCGTAGTGATAATGACACCAAATTTATTAATAGTACAATGTCTACCTTTTTTCTTTCTATGTAGTCTACTAAATTATATAAGTTTAGACATCTCAACACAATGAAATAATAAAGCATAAGTTACATCATTTATTAGATGTCACATATACCTTTATATTTAAGATGAATCTTCCTAATTTATATTAGTCAGATGTTATTCTTACAATGGCTTATCTCATCGATGGTATCTCATCATCTACTCTAGTTAGTAATATTTCATGTTCTACTCTATGCCCAAACAAAGAGTTATTTCATTTTACCTTGTATTTCAGTTTTATTTTTTTGGTTCACCTCGTTCATTTTCATAAACTTTCTCTTCATGTTGTCAAATGTATCTTTGTGGGTTACTCAAAAACTTAAAAAAGGTAGTGCTCTTTTGACACATGATCATTGTGATCATATGTTAGTGTAGACATGACATTATTTAAAAATTATCTGTATTTCACTAAATTTATTTTACTAGATTTAGTTCTCATAATAAAATTTAGTTGACCCCACTGTACTATCTCAATCAATAGTCCCACTGTGCTATCTATTATTTTAAATTTGATTGTTGTGTTCATCAATATAAGCTTGAGTTGATAGATCTCTTGAAGAGTCATGAAGTTGCTCGTGATATGATTATCGAGCATGGTTGTCATTTGCTCATCGTTAATTCAAGCATTGATGAAAATTATTATTTTTTTCTTTGCTACCTTGCAACTCTTATGGGTGAAGAATGTTCAATAATTAAAAGCTATTCATTTTCATGTCATCTCTTTCTTCTTTATCTTCCTCTAAGGTCATGGGTTATTGCTCCACTATCACATTGAACTGGGGGCATTTGCTATTCTACACACTTGAATAATTTTACTATCAATGAGGACCTTATAGATAAAACATCTTGTTTGTAGAATTGTAGTGTCATTTATGTAAGGCAAGGTGCTGTTGAGAGATTGAGGATTTTGTTTGCATTACATCCCCCTCATCTTCCCCTAAATTGGCTCCCATGATGTCACCAGTTTGACTTTTATCGTTGATTCTCATTGTGGTTGATGATAATTTGTCAACAATAATGCCACCATAAACATTATTTTAAGATCATGGGTGCCCCTTCATTGCACTTTGGCATGTGCCCAAGGTTGTAAGTTGAGGAGGAAGAAATGAAGATGGTTTTTTTCTTCAATTTTCTTAATATCTAAGATTAAGACTCTTAACTTTTGACATAACTATTGATAGCTCCAATGTGCTTGAGAGCCAACATCTTGTTTAGGGCGACATTCAACCTATTTATCAGTTGAAAATATCTCTTGAATTCCATCTTGAACTGTTCTTGACTCCTAGTTGAGTCTTCTCTTTCAGTGGCACTAGATTTTGACATTCTTAATAAAAACTTTATCTATGATCTTCAATCTCTCCTCATCTTCTACCTCATGATCTTCTATGCATTCCTCAAGGTCCCATATAAAATTGTTGACCTTAGTTGCATCAGGAGTCTTTGTAAATATGTTTTGATTAGGTACTCGAAGGGTTCTCTTTTGTTGGACTTCTTGGTGCTCATTCTCATATGTTGTATCTCAACCTCCAAACTCTTCCGTCTTCTCATATCTCTTCCAATGATATTTTTTCCACTCAGTTGGAGTTTGAACTAATCTCTCTTTATAACTCCTCTAATTTATTGTCTATCAATTTTATGTGTTCCTCTAGCAAGTTCTGAGCTCTCCCACTTTTGTCTGTCATTATTGAGACTCTCTTACATTCAAGCGTGAATCTCTTCTAGACGACATTCAAGTCATGGCTTCTCATTAAGGGTTCCTTTAGTCTGGTAATTTAGAGTCCTTTCATTAGTCTTTATCCTCTCTCCCTAATACTTCTAATATCACTATTACACGATAGGATGTAGGCATTGAGTTGCCTCTTTCCCCCCAGCTAGCCCTTAGCTCACGTATAAGTATCCTTTGTAGAATATGTAAATAAGGTTCATCCACTTTTCTGGTTAGTCGGGCCCCTATATTTATTGTGATGTCCCTTCTAATCATTACTCATGGCGGGTGATCATTGTCCTTCCTATTAAATAGTCATTGGTGGGGCCTCATGTCCCA